ACTTTCTATTTTGTCTGTATATACATGAAGGTAGACACACAGAGAAAAATAGAAAAAAAACTACATATGCCTTACACAGACTATATTTGACATACTTGGACTTTCTGTTTAGTCTTAGATTTTTTTTTCTTTTTTAAATAACAATTTTTAAAATATTCATTTTATCTTAGGACAAAAATTTACCATATGAGATTGTTTCTCAAACAAAATTGCTCCCTTTATAACCTTCCTTAATTAAAATACATCTTAATATCCATAATTTTCTTCACATCTCTCTCCCCTCCTTACTGGTTCCTTTATATTAATACCTTGTTTCATAAATAATCTTTTCAAGTCCATAATTTGAATCAACCTTTAGGTAACTTTTTTTCTTTCTTTCTTTCTTTCTTTCTTTTTCTTTTTCTTTTTCCCTTTCCTTTTCTTTTCTTTCTTTCTTTTTTTTTTTGAGGCAGGGTCTTGCTCTGTCACCCAGGCTGGAGTGCATGGGCACGATCATAGCTCACTGCAATTTCAACCTCCTGGGCTCAACTGATCCTCCCACCTTCGCCTCCTGAGTAGCTGGGACTACAGATGCATGCCACCACATCTGGATAATTTTTTAATTTTAGTTTTTAGTAGTGACAAGGTCTCGCTGTGTTACCCAGGCTGGTTTCAAACTCCTGAGCTCAAGCAACCATCCCGCCTTGGCTTCCCAAAGTGCTGGGATTACAGGCATGAGCTACCATGCCTGGCCTAGGTAACTTTTGAATTAGACAAAAGTATTGTTTTTTTCAATAAGGACACATCTTCTTTGGCACCTTATATACAGAACTGTACATTAACTACAATTTTTATTCTGAGTAACCTTAAATTTTAGTGAAAAACTAGGAAGCAAGAAATACTGAGAATTCTAAGGATGCTAATTTCCCAGAGATAGTAAGATTTTATAGATGAGTACATTCCACTTCCCCATATTATAACTCTTTTCTTAATTGGAAATGACCCAGACATCCAAGGAGCATGAAAAATGACTAAGATGGGGCCGGGTGCGGTGGCTCACGCCTGTAATCCCAGCACTTTGGGAGGCCGAGGCGGGCATATCACGAGGTTAGGAGATCAAGACCATCCTGGGTGACACGGTGAAACCCCATCTCTACTAAAAATACAAAAAAAATTAGGTGGGCATGGTGGTGGGTGCCTGTACTCCCACTACTCGGGAGGCTGAGGCAGGAGAATAACTTGAACCTGGGAGGCAGAGCTTACAGTGAGTGATGATTGCACCATTGCACTCCGGCCTGGGCAACAGTGTGAGACTCTGTCTCAAAAAAAAAAAAAAAAAGGAAGAAAAATGACTTAAGATTTTAAATTACAAAAAGGTTCACTACAACCATTTATCTCATTTACATGTACTAAATTCTTGTTTGTCAAAAAAGTTACACAAGGATCATTTTGTTTTGGCTGGATTTATAGTTTTATAACCTTTTCTGCCAAACCTTGGAACTTCAAAATATGTAGCAGAGACAAATATAAACCCGAATAAAAGGCCAGGCACAGTGGCTCACACCTGTAATCCAAACACTTTGGGAGGAGGCCGAGGCAGGCAGTTCACCTGAGGTCAGGAGTTTAAGACCAGACTGACCAACATGGAGAAACTCTGTCTCTACTAAAAATACAAAATTAGCCAGGTGTGGTGGTGTATTCCTGTAATCCCAGCTACTCAGGTGGCTGAGGCAGGAGAATTGCTTGAACCCAGGAGGTGGAGGTTGCGGTGAAGTGAGATCACGCCATTGCACTCCAGCGTGGGCAACAAGTGCAAAACTCTGTCTCAAAAAAAAAAAAAAACCCCGGATAAAAATATATGCTGACAATTTCAAAGACATTTGCATTTTTATCTTAACATAATGTTAAAGCCAGTTTGTTTATTAAAGATTTACTTAAGTCGTCTGAACTTGAAAATTGCTTAGACTCCTGTACTTAATTTATGAGCACAGTTATTTATAAGCCAATTTTGTAGGCACAACATACAACATAACGAATGTACAACATAAACACATCTAAACATATATATATATATGCATACATACAAAGATCCAATAGCTTTTACCTTTAACTCTAGCCACGAGGTAGCAATACAAACTCATCAGTTAACAAACATGTTCACATGGCTAAACTGTTTGCCCTAATAGGTAATCCAGTGAAGGCTGTGAACCAAATTTTGGGGTAAAGCAGTTTCCATATGGGTTTGAGTTTTAAAGGCCAAACCTCCCCAGATGTCAAAGAACACTGGGGCCAAATGGCACCGCACAGCAACATCACCTATTAACCAGGCTTAACCCTGCTTAGAACAGCAACATAAACTCCTGGATACAGGGAACTCCATCCCACTTTCCCATTCACATGTCACATGAGGCCCATGGAGAGGTCAAACTTCTCTAGATTCCAAAGAATATCAGGGCCAAGAAGATGATCAGTGTATTCCGATTTCCCATGACTATATTGATACAAACAATTACCAAAACACAATCCAACTGCTGCAGCAACAAACAAGCCCCAACTGTGTCCCAACTGGAACAGCCAGGGTGCTTACTTTCTGTCAGGCCTGTTCAACCTGAAAATGGAATTCTTTTGGAATATCCCCAAATTGAGGGGAGCACATCCTGCTCTCTGGTGCCCACAAAAAATAGTCATCCACCCAGACACAAATGTCACATTTCAAAGTTTGTTCTTTCTGGGCAATCAGGAACACTGTTGGAGCTGGCAGTGGTGTGACCAAAGAAAGAGACCAAAATCTATCTCCAGCAAAAAAGGGTCAGGCAGCTGCTTGAGGGGGTTGGGGGTGCTTCTGAAATTCTTGGCCCATAGCAGCTGAGCCATGAGCAATGCATTCCCGGTCAGGGAACCAAAATCTGTTACTGAAACAGCAGGAGTTTGGTTGAGGTCCTGCTGCTTGCCACACAGAAAGCCAATCACTGAGACGAGTATTGCCAGGGAAGAAGGCTTTAATAGGGTGCTGCAACCAAGGAGATGGGAGATCAGTCTCAAATCCATCTACATACACAACCCAGTAAAATTAGGGATTTATATTGCTGGGAGGAAATGTAACCATGCGTGGGAAAACATGAATTAGGGAGAGTGAGGAAGAGGAGTTGGCCAGAAAGAAGCAGCTGGCAGATCAGGCAGTCATGAAGGGTGAGGCATTTGCAATCTCACTCTCCAGATGCTGTGATCTGGTGGGCCTCAGCTCCTTGATACTATCTGGGAGGTCTGAGGGTCAATTTCCTGAGAAAGGAGCTCAGATAAAACAAATTTAACTTTCCCAAGTTTCCCGATTGGGAGGGTCAATTTCACTGTTTATTCAAAGGAACCAAAAACATCAGTTATATGGGACAATCGAGCCAGCTTCAAGCACCTGTTAGAAATAGGTATAAAACAACTGTTCCATCCACAAGGACCAGATCCCTTAGACCTTTGAAGGTCCTGCCTCACTGTCTTCTGCCCTTCCGGAACTCGTGGGACTTGATGAGAAGTGGGATGCCCCCCTGACTCCTGTGTCTTTGTAAGGGTTAATTCTCTTCCTCCTCAAGTCACCTTTGCACTGGGTCAGAGCTGTGGGTCTGTGAAGTTTTCTCGCATTATTTGTCTCGTATTTCTCTCCATTGTGCTCTCCCTACTGTCCTGGAGCTCCTACCTGAGAGATGTTAGAACTCCAGCTCTCTCTCTCATGTCCCCTGATGTTGTTTTGGAGTGTTTTCTATGTCTTTGTGCTTCTGCTGTTTTGGGGAATTTCCTCAGCTTAATCATTTCCCGTTTCACCCCTCAGCTGGGTTGGTTCTGTTACTAGCTCAGTTGTTGCTGTTGCTGCTGCTGTTTTAGGGGTGACATGACACATAAGGAGGGTGTGGCCTCCGGCTGACTGTCGTGGGTGCACGGCCCCCTGCGCCTCCTGGTGGCCTGGGCTGCAGTTACAATGGAGCAGTGGGCTGCCCATTCTCCCCTTGCCTGCTTAGGTCTGCGTCCCTCTGAGGTCAGTAGATTGTCGACTGCAGCACCGGCCTCCTCAAAGTCAGGCGATGCCTGCATTGTATTCCCGTTTCTCTCCTCTCGCCACATGCCTCTGCTGGGTGTGGATGCTGCTGGCCCTGGTCATGCTTGAGGCTGTGGGTGTTGGGCTGTGTGGGGGTCCCAGGGGCTGCTGTCAAGCTGGGAGAGTCCTGTTGTTCCTAGGAGTCGGCAACTGCCTGGAACCTACCCTGCCCTCTGCCTCAGATGCGCCGGCCATCTCCCTGGGTCACTGGTGGATGGGCATGCATGGGCACACCCAGCTGCTCTCCCCAAGTTCCTCTGGCAGGTCCTCATGCTGGTGACTCTTCCCACCATCCAGGCTCACCTGTCTCCCCCTCAGGGGTCCCTCCTGGGTTCTTTTCTCTTTCCTGTTTGAGCGAGGCTGGTCTTCAAGGGACTGGGGAGCATCCCTTGACCCAAAGCCCACTGTCCATTCCCAGCCACGCTCTCCCTTAGGACAGCAGAGCTGCCTCTAGAGGCCAGGGCCCCTACGAACACCTCTGTCGCTGCTGCACAGCAGTGGCCTCTATGGATGCTGTCAGCTGATGGCTGGGGACACTGTGCGTGGAGAATGGACAGGTCAGGGGCTGGAGTCGGGAGGTCACTCAGGAGCTGCACGGCTATTCATGTGGTGGGCCTGGCAGGGCAGGGAGGGGCTTTTCTCAGAGGAGAGTGTGGACAATGGCTTAAAATCACACTGGTTCAGGGTGGGCCTTCCTGCCTGCGGCCCTGGCAGACATTAGGCGTTGGAAGCAACACATGTGGCTTGCTTAGCGTGTTGGGAGCTTTTCCCTGCTGCCTTCAGGGACCAGTGTCCTGCACATTGTGGGGCAAGTGAGGCTGAGAATGGTGCCCTCGGAGTCTCAGCCATGTCCCTGGCATTTGGGCTCCCCAGGTACCTCACCTGTCTCTCCCCACGAGTACGTGCCTTGCCACCCATCCCGGTGTTTCCTCTGCAGCTGGGCACCCTGACACCACTCCACATCGCTGCTGCCCTTCCTGGGGAGGAGGGGGTACAGATCGTGGAGCTGCTGCTGCATGCCATCACCGACGTGGACGCCGAGGCATCTGACAAGGACGGCACTTACAAGTCCGGCAAGGTGTGTGCTTCGCGACCTGCGGTAGGGGTATGGGGCCTTGGCCAGGTGTGCCTGGATGGATTCACACACTATGCCTAGCCTGTGCTCGCTGAGCATGATGGGCCTCCTGGCTTGGGGCCCAGGCGGTGGAGATCCTGCATAGAAACAACCCGTCCAGATGAGAGCCTTAGTCAGTGAGCTTGTTCTGGTATCAAGAGGCAAAAATGGTTGATTGGAATGAGTTAAGAACTTGATGCTTCAGGCAGTCCACAGAGCATGGGGGTCCCCATGAGGACCTTTTGCATGTAACTCCATCTCATGCCTTTCGGAAGGTTCATAATTGCAGACAGAGGCCAGTTCCATGTCCTCAGGGCCTCCTCCAAAGGCAGGCCAAAGCCAGCTTGTCCCACCAGGCCCTACCAAGCTGCAAAAGACCACCAGTCATGGACCATGAGGCCATGTCTTCCTGTACAAGGAGTTGAGCCCCTTGAGGTTAGGAGCTGTGAGGCTTTCCTTTTTGTGCTCCAGAGCCTTGTCCAGTTGCCGGCACACAGCAGAAGCTATTGAGCATACATACATGCTAGATGTGGGTGTGCGCAGCTCACCGCGTGGGGGACCCGGGAGGGGAGGGCACAGAATGGCTCTGACCCCTGTGGATGTTGGGGTATCTCAGGGACAGGCATGCAGGGGACAGGCTCGAAGAAAGTCAGGCATCTGCCTTCAGGAGGGTTTCACAGGGTGAGACTCCAGACCCGCAGTCTGGGGAGGAAGCTCCCTTGCTCCGTTTGCCTTCCTGTGGGCACACGGCAGGTTCGTGGGCGCTGGTGGAGCCCTCCGTTTTACACAGCTGGATCTGCTGCCCTCGAGTCTGAAGCTCAGCAACGAGCCAGGCCCTCCCCAAGCCTACTACAGCATGGACACGCCCCTCCCCGAGGAGGGGGGCAGGACGGCTCTGCACGTGGCCTGCGAGCGGGAGGACGACGACAAGGTGAGGGCAGCCAGGGCCTGGCGGGGACACAGGGCTGCCCAGCAGGGGGGCCACCTTCCAGGGCCTTGTGTCCCCCGGAAGCACGTGTTCTCATGCTGAGTCTTAGGCAGAATCCAGGGAGCATGGAAGGATGGGGAGGGAAGCAAGGCAAGGCGGGAGGACGGGATTTCTGTGCACACATGTGCACAGAGTCTGGGTGGCGGCATTAAGTCTACTTCTTACCACAGGTCCTGGTCAGACATGTTTGGGAGCCTCTGGCCTAGGCTATGACCATCTGGTGCTGCCAACCCTCCTCTGTCACCCTCCTGTGTCTCTGACTCAGGACCCCACGGGTGGTCTCATCTTCCAGAGCCCTGGGTGGTGTGCTGCTGGCCCTGTGGCCGTTGCCTCCTGCCTGCCTTAGGGGTTAATTCCTACCAAGTTGGGTGTGGGAACCACTGCGAGGATGCCCAGCGGCTGGGGTGGATGCGGGGAAACTGGGGCCAAGTCTGAGCTTTGCCGTGTGGCAGCAGGTGCAGCCCAAGCCAGTTGGCCACGGAGCACATGGCACACCGTGTCTCAGTTTACCCACTTACAAATGAAATGAATGATCCTGGGCCTTCGGCAAGGTGGTAACTTGTGAGGTCCTCACATGAGCATGAGGATGAGTGTGCAGGAGTGCCGTGTGTGCGAGTGGGCATGTGGGTGACACTGGAAAGGGGATGGGCAGACAAGGAGGTGGGGGCACTGACAGGCCTGCCTGCTTCAGAACACCCCTGTCTGCTCAGAGCCTCCTTGGAGAGTGGGGAGAAGGAGCAGGTCTATTGGGGGTCTTCTTGGGGCCAGGCGCTCTGCCCTGACTGGACCGCCTGAGGGGTTGGCAGGAACCCACATTAGGAATGAACAATGAGGCTTCGAGAAGGCAGCTGGTCAAGACCCCTGCCGTGAAGGACAAGGCCTGGGCAGTGAACACAGGGCCTTCTGCTCGCACACTTGTGTCCTGATGACAGTTTGGGAAAGTTTTGGGGAAATAAAAGGAGACACTGAATGTGGCACTGTCGTTGTGACAGACCAGCAGGTGGAACTTCAGTGCTGTGGGCATGACGGCTGCAGCAGTCCAGCCATCACATCTGTATCCCAGAAGGGAGGGGAAAGGGGGTCACTTTCCCAGGAGCCCCTCAGCAGACTTCTGCGGGTACCTCCTTGGCCTGGCCAGCAAGGCTGCGGGAAAGGGGAGTGTGCGTGGTGGTTGGGCCAGCCAGACGTGGGGTCTGCCACATCTGAGGGCCACAGTCCCAGCAGAGCACTGGGAGAGGGAGCTGGGCCAGAGAAGAGTCCCTGCAGTGGGGGAGGAGAAGTCGCAGAGGTCGGGTCCTAGTGAACGCTTCTGGGGGAAGATGAGGAAGAGAAGGGAGCAGCTGAGGGTTGCACAATGGGACATTCTGACAGGGGAGCAAGGATGGGAGAATGGAAAGGAAAGCAGGGGGGTTCCCGGGGAGGAGTCAGGGAGGTGGGAGGGCAGGGATGGGGGAGGAGGGCAGGGAGGCAGGGAGGGCAAGACCAGTGGGGAGAGCAGGGAGGCAGGGAGGGCATGGGTTGGGGAGGAGGGCAGGAGGCAGGGAGGGCGTGGACGGGGCTGCCCTCCTGGTGCACAGAGTGCTCCACCAGCCGAGGGTGGGGCTCTTTACACTCAGGCCATCCTCTATGGTCACTGAGCCCTGGAGGAGGAGGTGCTTCTCCAGTCACACCTGCTGTATGCCAGGACCTGCTACATGGTCATGTGGTCCGGACTGTCCGTTGTCCTTTCAAACAAACTTTAAATCAACTTATGCATCAATATCCTCCTAGTTTTCATTTGGAAATGATGAATGCTTAGAAAATATCTTCTCCATTTGAAGCTCCATCCACCTCCCCATCCATTCACCTGTCCATCCATCTTCCATCCACAGTTTTGAACACCTTGTGCCAGGCAAGGTAATGGTTGGGAGGAAGTGCCGTTGAGTGACTACATTGATTTCATGGCATTTAAATTAATAACTACTGTTAGGTGCTCCTTAGGGGTGGGGGTGCCTCTCTAACCTGTCATGCTTCTGCCTTTCTCCCCAACCAGTGTGCCAGGGACGTAGTCCAGCTCCTTCTATCCCACAGAGCAAATCCTAACCTGCTATGGAGTGGCCACTCCCCGCTCTCCCTGTCCATTGCCAGTGGGAATGACCTGGTGAGCATGTTCTGCACCCACAGACCTGAGCACCTATGTGTTTCCATCTCTAACGCCCACCCCATCAGTCATCGGGATTTGAAGTTGTTGGCCATTTGTCCGTCCATCCATCCATCCATCCATCCATCCATCCATCCATCTGTTCGCCCATCTGTCCATCCAACTACCCATCCACTCACTCTTCCACTCACCTGTCTACCCATCCACCCATTCTTCCATTCATCCATGCATCTATCCACCCAACTTCTCATCCACTTATCCATCTACTCACCTGTCCATCTACCCTCCACTCATCCATTCATCCATTATTCAACTTATTCATCATCTCATCCATCCATCTATACATCCGTCCTTTTAACCAATCACTCATGTATCAACCCAACTACCTATCCACTCATCCATCCACTCAACCGTTCACCTATCCATTCATTCATCTATTTATCCATCCATCCATCCACCCACCCACCTACCTAGACATCATCATCCTTCATTCACCCAGATGGAAGGATCTACCATCCACCCATTCATCCATTCATCCATCTATCATGTAACTGTTATTTACTGAGCATCTGCTTTGTACCTGACAGGCACCATTCTAAGCACTAGGAGTTGAATTAAAGTCTCTGCTCTCGAGGATTCTATATTATAGTTGGAGGAGCCAGACCATAAACTAGTATGTAACACAATTTCAGGAAATGACGAGTATTATGAAGAAAATAAAGCTTAGTTAGGGGATGGAGAATGATGGGAAGATAGGCTACATTAGCAGAGTGGCATGAAGTGCTACTCAGATGAGGTGACATTTCAGCAGAGGTCTGCAAAAGCTGAAGGCATTCATAGAATTTGTAAAAGCTGATGTAGAATGGGGCTTCCAGGTGCTTCTGCAGAGGCCAGCATCTCTGCTCCCTGCTTCCTTCTGTCCTGCACAGAGACATCCATTCAGTAAGTCATGTGGGGTCCTAGCTCAGGGCTAGGTCCTGTTAGAGGCAAGAGTATGGAGGGAAGAGAGCTTTGTTCTGAGGGGCAGAAGCTTGTGGGAGCCAAACACTTAAGGCCCCGTGTCTGGCCACGGCTGTCCTTCCTCGGTAGAATCTGAGCTGGTGGCTGGGCACAGTAGGGAGAAGGGAAGTGTGCCTCATTCTGCATCTGGCCGAGTGGTCACAGTGACACTGGTGTTCCAGGGCAGAGGCAGACAGCTTGGGCACCAGGCAGATGTGCCCCTAACCCTGTGCTGGGGGCACTGGCCCCTGGGCTTGGCTCTGTCCAGGGCTGGAGAGCAAGGTGGGAGCTGGGACCACGCTGGAGATTCCCCATTATGTCAGGGGACAGAGAAGGTGCTGGAACCGGCCCACCTGGGTGGAGTTCCAGCTTCTCCCTAACAGACCAGACATGGGACCCCTCCCCGCCCAGCGTCATCCTCTGTGGGACAGGCCAACAGTGGGACCCACCGTGGGAAGGATCTATGGGAAGGGCCAGCAGTGGCCTCCGTGAAGCTCCTGCTTTCAGGGGTTAGTTCTGGAGTGGCCCAGCTCTGGGGACTTCCCCACTGTCAGGGGAGGTGACATGGTGGCCACTGATGAGCCTGTCTGTGTATGTCCAGGTTGTGAAGGAGCTCCTGACCCACGGAGCGGACCCCAACCTGCCCCTGACCAAAGGCTTGGGCAGCGCCCTGTGTATTGCCTGTGACCTGACCTATGAGCACCAGAGGAGCGTGGACGAAAGGCTGGCCCTGGTGAGGGTGGGGGGTGGCCCTGGTGAGGGGGGCGGGAGGTTGGGATGGCCCTGGGTGGTAGGGGTGTGAGGGTGGGTGACCTTGGTGAGGGGAACGGGAGGGTGGGTGGCCCTGGTGAGGGGGACGGGAGGGTGGGTGGTCCTGGGTGGGGGGAGGGAGGAGTGTGAGGTGGGCTGGCCCTGATCATGGGGAATAGGGGCTCTGGGAGTGGGGCCCTCATGGACTTCTCTGCCTGACTCTCATTCCTGACTGGCAGTGGATCATTTGTTCTGTGTTCTCCAAGCCTTGGTGGTCTAAATAGTGGAGAAAAGACAAAATGTTGTCTGCTTTTAATATTTTACAGGCCTTAAAAAATATGAATTGGCAGATCCACTCAACAGACCAGACAGAAAGGTTCCCTGAACTTTGTCTCAGTGAAAACAGGATTCAGGATACACGTAGGCCTCACCGTGGTCCAGCTGCACAATCCTGGCTTTCTCAATGGTCCACACAGCTGCTGGGTGGGGGTGTGCGGCGTTGTCCCCGGCCACAGGGAGCGGCTTTCTTGGGTGGAAGCTCACACTCGGGAAGTCCTGCCTGCGCTGGAGGCACTTTCTGTCCTGAGCCCTAGGCACGTCCCTTGAGTGTCCCTCCCACATGGCTCCGGGAACTCTCGGCGGCTTCGGCTCAGGCAGGGCCTCCCTCTGTGGCCTGCTGCCTGCTGCTCTCTGCCTGTGCCAGCCCGTCCTGCGCCTGGTGTGGGCACCACCCAGGAGCTTGCTTTCCTCAGTCCATCTTGATACGCACTTTGGTTCTTACCTGTCTGAGGGAGAAAGGGGGAAGCAGGAGAGGGGCGAGACTCAGGCGTCTGGAAGTGGGGGGCGAGACTCAGGCGTCTGGAAGCGGGGGCGAGACTCAGGCGTCTGGAAGAGGGGGCATCTGGAAGGTTGTTTGACGCCACAAAAGGGTAGCTTTACTTTAAAGAACTGAGATTCTTATCTTGAGATGCTGTTTTCAGATCTGATTTTAAGGCTCCTGTCCTTCTTCCTAAGACCCTGTTCCGTCTGGGATAGACTATGCAGGGACGCCGTGGTCAGCTTTCCGTAGGCGGCAGAGGATGGAATGAAACAGTGTGTGTGGATAGTCGGCACCATTTCTGGACCTGGGGGCTGGGAGGGGCCCCGATGTGCTTTCTGAGCTTCATGGGGCCCAGGATTGATGACCAGTCTCTTGTTCATCTAAGTCTGAGTGAACAGGAAAAGGACACGAGACGGGAGAGGCAGCTCAGGGGGCAGCGTTGCTGTGTGTGGACGCTGATTGGAAGATGTGTCTTGAACATACGGAATAGCACTTTGTCCGGGGTTGGGGGCTCCCAGTGCCTCGTCCAGGATTAGGGGGCTCCCCAGCGCCTCGTCCAAGGTCAGGGGGCTCCGCAGCACCTCGTCTGGGGTTAGGGGGCTCCCAGCACTTTGTCAGGGGTTAGGGGGTCCCCAGTGCCCCCTATTTTTTATTTATAAAATATAAAAACATTTTGTATCATCTGTATGCCATCAGCCAGTTGTAAAAACACTAGTATGGCAGAATTCGATTCGCTTTTGTTGTCTCTGTGGATTCTCTTACCTCTTCCTAGAGTGACTTCTATCAGGGTCCTGTAGTCTGTTTAACGGACTGAATTTCTGTTAGTTTAAGAGTTCTCCAACTTATCCCTTTGGATTTATCTCTTCCTTTCCAATTTTTTTTTTTTTTTTAGACGGAGTTTCGCTCTTGTCGCCCAGGCTGGAGTGCAGAGGTGCGATCTCGGCTCACTGCAACCTCTGCCTCTCAGGTTCAAGCAATTCCCCTGCCTCAGCCTCCCAAGTAGCTGGGATTACAGGCGCCCGCCACCATGTCCAGCTAATTTTTGTATTTTTAGTAGAGATGGGGTTTCACCATGTTGGCCAGGCTGGTCTCTAACTCCTGACCTCAGGTGATCCGCCCGCTTTGGCCTCCCAAAGTGCTGGGATTACAGGCGTGAGCCACCGCGCCTGGCCCTTTCCAGTATTTTAAATCTGTTTCCCGTTTCCTCATTGCCTGAGCCGGGTTCCACCTGAGTGACAGCATCCCAGCGTGTCCCTGATGCCACGGGACCGTTTCTGCGGTGCCTTCTGTGCATTTCTGGTAGCTGTCCTTTACCAAAGTAGGGAACACCCGTTCATTCACAGCTTGCCATGAGGATTTATCAGGTTGGTTATGGAAAAAATCTTTTTTCATTTTTATTTTTTGTTTGCCAAAAAACATTACAGTAACATACCTATAATGTTTCGCCTTTCAAAAACATTACGGTAACATACCTATAACATGAAGTTTACCATCTTAACCACTGCAGGTGTGCGTGTCGTGGTAAGTCTGTTCTCATTGCCGTGCAGCCGTCATCACCCTCCCTTTCCAGAGCTGCTTCATCTTGCGAAACGAAGCCTCTGTCTCCAGTCCACACTCGCTCCCATTCCCCACCCTCGGCCTCTGGCCATTCTACTTTCTGTCTGTGAATGTGAAACGCCCCACATACATGGAAGCACACAGTACTTGTTCTTTTTGTGACTGGCTTTCACTCAGCACCCTGTCCTGAAGGTTCATCTATGGGGTAGCTGGTGTCAGGATTTCCTTTCTTTTCAAGGCTGAGTGATACCCCCCAGGATGCATGGACGACATCTGGCTTCTCCGTTTCTCTGTTGATGGACATTTGGGCTGCTTCCACGTTTGAGCTGTTGTGAGGAATGCCGCTAGTGGCACAAATGGACACGTTTCTCTTCAAGAGCCCACTTTCAGTTCTTCTGGGAACTTGCCTGGTGGCTGGGTCCTATGGTATAATCATTCTATGTTTAATTTTTTTTTTTTTTTTTTGAGTCGAAGTCTCACTCTGTTGCCCAGGCTGGAGTGCAGAGGCGTGATCTCAGCTCACTGCGAACTCCGCCTCTCAGGTCCAAGCAGTCCTCCTGCCTCATCCTCCTGAGTAGCTAGGATTACAGGTGTGTGCCACCACACCCAGCTAATTTTTATATTTTTAGTAGAGACGGGATTTCAGCGTGTTGGTCAGGCTGATCTTTGAACTCCTGACCTGAAGTGATCCGCCCACCTCGGCCTCCCAAAGTGCTGGGATTACAGGCCTGAGCCACCGCACCCAGCCATATGTTCAATGTTTTGAAGAACCTCCGTACTGTTTCCACGGCAGCTGCACTGTTTCATGTTCTCACCAACAGTGGACAGGGTTCCAGTCACTCCCAACTATCACCAATACTTGCTATTTTCTGTTTTTTTGATAGTTGCCATCCTAATGGATGTGAGGTGGTATTTTGTTTGTTTTTTAAACAGAGTCTCACTCTGTCGCCCAGGCAGGAGTGCAGTGATGTGATCTCGGCTCACTGCAGCCTCCACCTCCTGGGTTCAAGATTCTTGCTGGAATTACAGGCGCCCACCACCACACCCAGCCAATTTTTGTATTTTTAGTAGAGATGGGGTTTTGCCATGTTGGCCAGACTGGTCTCAAACTCCTGGCCTTAAGCGATCCATCTGTCTTGGCCTCCCAAAGTGCTGGGATTACAGGCGGAAGTCACCCCCGCCAGCCTTCTCATTGTGGTTTTGATATGTATTTCCCTAATGATGAGTGATGTTGAACGTCTTTCATGTGCTTATTGGTCATTTATGTATCTTATTTGGAGAAATGTCTATTCAACTTCTTCGGCAATTTTTGAATCTTTATTATTATTGTTGAGTTTTGGGACATTTCTATATATTCCAGATGTTAATCCCTTATCGAGTATGTAATTCACAAATATTTTGATACACAAAAGTTTTTAATTTTCATGAAGTCCAGCTTGTCTATTTTTTCTTTTGTTGCCTTTACCTTTGGTGTCATAGCCAAGAAGTCATTGCGAAATTCAATGTCATGAAGATTCTTCCTATGTTTTCTTCTAAGAGTTTTATAGTTTCAGCCAGGAACTTTCAGAAATACTTTTCCGTAGCCTCCTGGAAAATCTGGTGCTTTTCTCTTATTATGCTTTCGTGGGATCTGAGTCCATGGAGTTCCCGAAACCCTAGGGGTACCCTGTCTTGTGGGGTGTACGTAAACAATGGTGCTGCAGGACCTGAGTCCATGGAGTCCCTGAAACCCTAGGGGTGCCCTGGCTTGGGGGGTGTACGTAAACAATGGTGCTGCAGGACCCTTCTGCTAGAGGCCTGGGCTGCCTAGGTCCTGGCGACGCCTCCATCTCCCACCATGTCTTGCTGGTCAGGCTGTGGCAGAACCTTGTTTCAGGGGCTCTTCCTCTGGGGCTCCTTTGGCTGCTGTAGCAGACCACAGCCTGGGCGGCTTAAGCCACAGAAGTGAGCCGGCTCTGGTCCTGGAGGGTGGAGGCCTCGGAGGGTGTTGCAGGGTTGTGACCCTGGTGTAGACCCTGGTGTAGACCTCGCTGTGCCTTCTGGGGGCTGGCTGGCCACCTCTGCCCTCCTCAGCTCATGGTGTTCTGCATGCATGTCTGTCTCTGCAGCCAAATGTCCCTTCTCAAAAGACAATGGTCATACTGGACCACCTACCACCCTAAGGACCTCATGTTACTTTGATCATCTGCAACGACCCTATGTCCAAATAAAGTCATGTTCACAGATCCGGGGGGTTAGGACTTCAACTTACCTTTTTAGGGGACCCAAGCGAACCCACCACACACGGCTTCGGCGTTTTCAGTCTTCTTCTCCTTTCTCCTTGGCTGCTGTTCTTGGCCTTGGCCCGTGGTGAGCACGTGGGACACACAGGCCTGAGGTGGAGCTCGTTGAGGGTCTGGGGTCACCAGGCCTCCTGAATATTCTCATGCTAAACTTTCTAAAGATTGTCCCGTAAATGAACGTGTGAAGCTCGAGCTCCGGGCCCCCCTGATTCCCCAGGCCCCTGCTGCAGCACCAGGCATGGGCTCCACATTTGTCTTTGAACGGCCAAGGAAGGGGCTGCCAGAACATAGGTTAGCAGTGTTTGGAGAAAAACCACTGCAGAAAGGAGCTTTCATCAGCCCGGGGACCTTTAGAAAGTCCCTCCCTCACTGTCTTTTCTGTGGCCTCCGGGGGACAAAATCCTGTTCTCATGAACATTTCTAGCTCCTCTCACTGGGGAGGCTCTGCTTAGATATGAGGCCCCAAATTTCCTTAATTTGAGAGCAGAGCAAGTCCGACTGAAGGATCCGTGTTCAAGCCCACTGATCCTGACAGACTCCTTAGAGGCACACGCCGGGCCGGTCAGCTTCAGGCCGCCCCTTCCTCTTCCCAGAAAGGTCCCAGCCTTCCCTCCCGGTGCTGTTCAGCAGGGGCTGTGGTCTCAGAGGCGGAGCCTCCTGTGCAGGGCTGGTTCCTGCAGGGTGCTGATGCTGCTGGGGTCTGAAGAGGCATGGAGAACAGGGCCACTGGAGAGGCGGGCTCCGGGGATGGAGGGGCGAGGTTATCCAGCTGCAGCTGAGGGCATGCCTGGGGAGCCTCAGCAGGGGAACGGGGTCATTGTGCCATGGAGGTGGGGCAGAGTGCCTGGGGGATGAGGTGGAGGCAATAATGTCAAAGTTCAGATGGGGGTGCTTGGGAGGTGAGGGTCTGGAGGGGAGCATTGGCGAGTAAATGGTTTGGCAGAGGGACAGCAAAGTGTATCTCAGTTCTCACCGTGGATGAGGCGGTCACCCCGGGCAGCCAGGGCCAGGGTTGGAAGATACTCCTGGTGAGAGACAGGCAGGTCAGCAAATGGGGAGGGGCTGTGGCAGGAGAGGAAGGGGTGAGGACATGGGACCTGGGTTGAGAAAGCCCCAGGCCACCCTGCACACCCTGCTGGGGCTAGTTGTCCCCAGTGACTCCCAGGGGTTGGGGTCAGTGTGGAGGGGTATGTGGAGACATGGGAGCTGTGGGGATGCAGAAGTTCCCAGGAATGATGTTTGGCCAGAGGGGAGAAGGTGCCCAGCTGGGTGAGACTAGGAGGTGAATCCCAGCTGCTGCCGAGTGGCCAGTCCTGGGAGCCCAGGGGCGGGGTGGGGTAGGGTAGCTGCATCACTACCCAGGCAGAGCTGTCCAGAGAAGCTGTCCCAGTGCCAGGACTGACTGAGGCCTGGGTGCCCTACAAAGACAACACTTGGGGGATGGGGGTGGGCTGGCAAGTCCCCCAGCAACATTGGGCAGGGAAGGGTCGATCCATCATCGACCCACCTGTCCATCACCAAGCACCTGTGGCAGCTCTCACTCACCCACCGTCTGCCCACCTTTCCTGAAAAAGATTTGATGAGGTGGGGGGGCCTCGGAGGCATGTCCAGCAGGGAACCGACTCATGGGGTTTTTGGCATGTTATCATGGCTTCAGCAGGAGGAGTCAAGGAGACGGGGGTGTCATGGGTGGATCTGGGTGGCTCTATCCTCGAGAGCAGTGGAAAACAGCCGCCTCCTGTGCCTGGCGTATGCCTTGCCTGGCCTCACTTGGCCTTGAGGAATCTGTGTATAAACTCCACCCATGCCCCCATGCGCCAGGGAGTCAGCCGTTCAGGCCAGGCTGGCCACTGGTGTTGGTGGCATTGGCCGCTCCGCCGTCCCGCGCTGTGCCTGGTGCCATGCCCAGGGCATTGTTCTCGTGTGTTGCTGAGAAAGCAGGGTTGCTGTGTTTGTGTGGAATGTGTGTTATGCATGTCACAGAGAGTGGGGATCTCGCTGCGGAAGTTGTGTTTCACCAAATCATGGCCCTGCTTGCACTTGGTTAGCAAGGCCCCCATGCACACAGCAGTGAGCCTTCCACAGATGATGGCCTGGTTTTCATTCACTCACACGGGCTGCCCTGAGCCTACCAGGCCCCCTGATAGAACTTGCCTCCTCCCATGTCAGGAGGGGCAGCCTCTTTAGATGATCTTTGCTTTGGATGGGATTGTGGTACCTGTTGAGCCAGAGACCATTGCTGTCGTATATTTGCCACAAGTCAGGCACACATGCACACAGGCTCATGCATTCACACATTTGTCAGGCATGCTTGGACTCAGACATACATGTGTGCCCTTACTCATGCATGCACACACACTAGCCCCCACTCATGCACAGACACTCACACATGCAGGTGCACACACCCACACTGCACACCTACATGCGTGCAGGCACACTTCTACCCACCTATGAACAGGCATGCACATATCCACACACTCACCCACTAGCCCCACACATGCACACACACACATCCACACACATCCACACACCTACCTACATGCAGGCACACTCACACCCACCCAGCCATGAACACACATACACATACCCATGCATGCCCACGCACTGGCCCCCCGCCCCACACACACCAAATACAAGCATACACGTGCACTCGCGGTCTTGTTGAACACCCCCATGGCGTGTTGGGATCTGATGAAGAACAAGAGCTGCCTGGTGTCTGCCCTCATGTCACTGACAGCCTGAGGGGAGCAGGACTGTAACAGACTTCACAGACTCCATTGATTCTATGGTGCTGCGAGTCGGGCACCAGGGAGGGCTCCCCGAGGCGTGGCCTAGCCTTGACTTCACTGTGACATCATTAGGGTGAGGCTCAGCCCCAACTCCTTGTCCATGAGGTCAGCCCCGTCTCCGTCTGCCTCTCCCCGTTTGTCTCCTGGGCACTGCTGCACACCTGCAAGGATGGCCTCGATGGGGACTGCAGGTGACCGTGGCCCTTCTCAGGCGGTCTTCACTGCTCCCAGTAGCCAGGGTGTCCTTGCGTGTCTGACCTGGTTCTGTTCTCCACAGATTGACCAACTCATCGATCACGGGGCCGACATCCTGAAGCCCGTGACGCTCAGACAGGGGGAAAAGGTGGCGGTGGGCACAGCTGTGGACTATGGCTATTTCAGATTCTTCCAGGTAGGTGGTGAGCCTCCTGTGAGGAAGGAGGGGGAGTGTGGGTCATGTGCAGGACCCCCGGCTGGGGCATTAGCTCCTCTGGGGCAAAGCTGGGCTCAAGGTTCCTAGTGCCTCCCCCAGAGCAGCCCCTTGGCTGCAGAGGCAAACCCCCACAAAGTGCCGAGCTCATGCCAGGTGCAGCTGTGTGTGCTCCCAGCTTTGTGTGTCTGTCAGGGTTCGTCCTCAGTTATACATCATAAGAGCCGAGAGGGGCCCTCGATCACCCAGAGTCACCCCCGCAGTGAGGGGCGAGCCCGGGACCCTGTGGTGACCCTGGCGCCGTGTGCAGGACCGGAAGATTGCCCACTGCCCCTTCCACACGCTGCTGCCGGCGGAGCGCGAGACGTTCCTGGCACGGAAGCGGGTCCTGGAGTACATGGGCTTGCAGCTACGGCGGGCTGTCTGTGCCAGGGAGAGCCAGTGGGACCCCACGTGGCTGTACCTGTGCAAGAGAGGTGAGCAGTGGGCCCTGCTCTGCTCTGCTCCACGGGGCAGGGTTCCGGCCTCGTGCCTCGGGCTGTGATCCCTGGAGATCTGGACCCCCTGGGGCTCTGGAGGAGCCTTCCTGGGGCTGGGCTGGTCAGCTTGGCTTGGCCCAGCCCCTTTATGTCACGTCCTCCAAGGAGCTCATACAGAAGAGATTGAGAAGAGGGGTCTGGACTGGGGAGGTTCCTCTGGAAAGCGGAGTTGGTGGCCGAGGGCCAGGGCCCAGGTCAGAGGGGCCCCATGCCCAGGAGAGGATTAGGCACCGCTGTGGGAGCCCTGTCGGGAGTTCCAGTCCACCCAGCACAGGGCATGTGGGTCCGAGGCCTGGGGTGGTGTTTCCCTGCATGGTCACACCCCTATAGGGTGCGTCCTGCACACCCCCACATGTCCCCAGCTCCCCACATGCACCCACCCCACAAATGTACCATCCATCTACTGATGTCTACTCCCCCAT